GTTGTGGATACTGCAAACAAATGTGTAGGCCATCATTTAAGCCATATACTACGATCAATTTCGATCGGTGCAGGAGTAGACGTATATGATGATTGGCTTAACATGTGTTAGATGCGTATCTTGCTCAGCATGAATGAAAATTTCGACAAGATGAATTAATTGAGGCGTATGGTTATATGTTATGAATCAGATAACTTACTACAAGTACTATTAATCGTTCATAGAACGTAGAGAAGTGCCTTTATTGTTCGCCAAAAACAGAAAAATAACTTTTGGGAAGTTAGCCCTATTTCAGTTGATATGGCATCTTTTATGTTTCATGATGATTTGACTATGACTTGCAGATCGGCATCGGGTCTGCAAATTCAACATCTTGTCTCACTGTATCAATATCTGACATACCTGACCTGGTGAATCATATTTGTAGATAATATTGGAAAGAGTCCTTGGGAACCGGAATTGAAACAATGTAGTACTGAATTTTTTTGGTCCCAATTGCCATCTCCACAGAAAATAAAGATGAGTTGTAGAGCCCATATGGTTATTGATCATATTTTTCTATTCCGATACCCACGTTGTCCATCATGACTAGACTGTCACTACAGATAAATAAAAATCGGTTTTGATTAAGATTTTGGGTTGTTTTGGGATAAAATGGTCCCCCCCCCCCAACTAGTAATTTTATATTTCATAGTGGTTGTGAAAACGTTTCGGAGAAACAAATTATAAAACTGAATTTGTCCCAAATATAATCAATTAGCATTTTGGAAGTAATTATAAAATATTAACAAAATAAAAACTGTTTCAGCACCATGATATTATAAAACAATTTTGCTGGTTGGGCCGACCTTACAACCCGTACCCACATTCCAATGAACACTGAACCCATGACAACATAAAACAACACTACCCTGTACATCATTACACAAGACAACACACACACAACCCACTGACCCAGAAGAGGCATAAGCCTATAGCAGGGCCTCACACAAAACACACTTTCACAATACTTTGTAATTCCAATATCCTAAAGTAAAATAAACATTTTTGACTTTACTTGGATAAAATGGCTGCCTAACTGTACCTACCTCACTGCACAGTTCAGATTTGGTCTTTTGCGTCTTGTGACTCTCCTCAGAAGTGAAGTTTCTGCTCAGAACAGAAATTCAAGTTGTGACGAGTCATCCTGATTTCGTCCAGGTTTGGAGACCAGCTCCCCTACCCTTTTGGCTGATTGTTGGCCTTGAGAGGGGCCAATGGGTACACAACTGATAGATGACGGCATGAAGTCCTTAGACATCAGTGCCGCCCTTCACGGGATACCCCTACCTGGCTGGGGTGGGATGGATGAAAAAGTTATTCATCCTTTAACGGGGGACATGAGGGCCTCATTCGACTGAGTGTCGGGGCCTTCTATATCGGGAGGGGTCGTCTACAGCATAATCTGTGGCTTCCCTAACTAACGGGTTTTCATGAGTTTCCGTTTTTTCGAAAACTCTCTCATTCCTCGACTGAATGGACTGCCGAATGGAAGGCAGCTGCAAATCTCTGCGGCTGGCTTCGTTCCGCACGAACCAAGGTGCATTCACAATCATCCTAATTAACTTATTTTGCAACCTTTCCAAAATGGAAATGTTATACGGAGCCGCTTGTCCCCAGACGCCTGAAGCGTACATGATGACAGGCTTGAACATCGTGTTGTAGATCGTAATTTTGTTCTTTAAACTCATTTTTGACTTTCTATTGATCAGAGGGTACAGACTGGCTATCCGACCCTCGATCTTAGATTTGACGTACATAATGTGCGGGTTCCAAGTGAGCCTACGGTCTATTAAAAGGCCGAGGTACTTTACCCGCGCTTGCCAGTCAATCTCCCTTCCAGAGATTCTCACTTTTCTGGCCGGAGAAGATAGTAATCTTCCCATGGTTATCGCCTGATTCTTTTCCGGGTTTACTCGGATCTTCCAATCGAGGTACCAGCGCTCGAGGTCGTCCAATGCTCGTTGCATGTAGACGACGCCGAGCTCTCGTCCCATGGAAGATGAGAGAAGAGCCGTGTCATCGGCGTACAGGGATATCTTCACTCTTTCGGACCTAGGCAGGTCGCTGGTATAGAGCGAATACAGCGTCGGAGAGAGCACGGCCCCCTGTGGCACGCCAGCGAGGGAAATTCAAGCTGTGATGGTGCCTTGCAAGAACCTTGGTTCACGTATGAAAAAAGTCAGACTCTGTAGGGAAAGTGTATCAGGATTGAGAGAAGTCTCTTCAATATTTTTACTGTAGTGTGTTTCTATCTCGTTAACATTTATCGTATGGTTTAAATGATACAAAAGTTTTAGGCAAACATTCTGACGGATAGTTACCACGAACTGGCTCAGGAAGAATAAAGAAATGCCCAAAAACTATAAAATAAGTAATTATGTAGATAATATTGATACCAGATATTGATTATATCTCTGTATTCCTAATGTCTGTATTTTATATGAGAAACTCCGGCAACATTCTAAAGTTTGAAGGTGTACCTACATAACGCATTCGAGAAGTTTATTTGGTTGACATTACCAGCGTGAGATGAAAAGTTGGTTTGTTTGTGGCATTCTGTCCCCTACATTGTGGTCTATTACGTCCTGAAATACGTATACATGGTGTCTGAAATTAGTGAAGTAAATTCAGAGCGATGAATATATTGTCTTTACATTTTTGTATATTGTTCATTGACATTAAGTGAGAACTGAACACGTGGAAAGGAAGTGACCACTAGTTGATTCATTTATTTGATTTTGTTACATATTTTTCTTCTCAAAAATTCCTTGTTTGTAATAGTCCATTTTGTTGCGATTTCAGTGTAGATTTCTTTATTCCCATAATTTATCAATACAAATAGTTTTTATAGCTGTAAAATAAATATTTAGTCTGTCCAAACATTATGATGTTTTTCCAATAAAAGTACAATTATTCACAAGACCGAAATGCTATTAAAAACTGAAAAAAACAACAGAAAACAACGAATGCAAAATGAAAAGACTATATAATGATAAAAAATGAGAATTGAAACTTGTATTTGTAACTAACGTTACTTCAGTTTCGTCCAACAAGGACATTTTCAAACAAATACAATAAACTTCATACAATACAATATACAATAAAATTTTGAAAATGTCCCTGTAGGAATAAACTGCAGGAACCTTAGTTACAAATACAAACTGGTATGAAAACATTGAAAGTTTCAATTCTCATTTTTCATAATGAACTCCTACCACGTAGCGGCTACATCCATCAATTTATTATATAATTAAGACAGTTATTGCAAGTTTCAGTCTCTTTGTGACAGTTATGCTTGGAACAGAAAGGGATAGAAAGCTTTTCCAAATGAAAAGTCAACAGGAGATATTGAAAAATCAACATATTATTTTTAATTGGCAAATGATGACCACTGACAATGTTACAATGTTCAGTAAATCATAATTATTCCAGAGTAAAGCTAATGATTGAAGAGTATAAGAAACAAAGGACATTACTTTAGTGGTTTTGAAGTGTTACATCTCGAGAAAAACGTAAAAATTCGGATTATCTTGAAAGTAATGAGAGGATAGATTCAAGAATTACCCTGTCAGTCAGTGACTCAGTGATATTCAATACTTCCCTCTATTCAATAACCCTGAATAAATAAATAATATCTCTTCTTAGAATTGATGATATATTGGACAGTAAATTACGTACATTTTCTGTTCATCTGGATTCATTTATTTTTCAGATCGTAAAAAGTTACTAACCCATAAAAGTTAAAGAAATCTTTCATTAGTGATACCAAAGAACCAACAAATAAGTAGTTTTTCAAAAACAATTGAATCTTATAACCTAATAAAACCGACTCAAAGATAACAATTTAGGTTATTACTATTATTGCAATATATATCAGAGTAGAGTCAAAATGTTCAAGAATTTCCTCTTCTCCACAGTCATCTCTGGTTGGCTAATATCTTTAACTAATGAAGTGAAAATTTAAGCCATAAATTGGACGGAATTGAAAGCCATAATCTTTAAAGTAGATAACTAGTGAGCTTTAACATCATTAACAAAAGAGTACTCAAGAGTAAGAATGTTGAATTTAATAGGAAATGTTATTTTGAAGCGAATATATCACTATATACTGGCAAATTCCTTTCAGAATTGAATTTCAACACAGTTGTCTCCGTACCTAAAATGAATAATGAACCTTTTATTTCAAATGTTGAATTATTTTTGAAGTTTTCTCCAAGTGGCAGAACTTGCACTGAAATACTTCATCAGGGCATAATCAAAATGAATTGAGTTATATGAATCCTTCAACAAAATTAGACCCACTATGAGGTCGCAGACTCCCTTTCATTCCTCCAGAATAGGGATTAGAGAGTTACTTCTATCAGGTCAAAATGCAATGCAATGTTAACAAACCCTTTCAGAATGTTGGTGAGGTTCTATATTTATCTGTTTTTACTTTACTCACTTTATAGTATTTCAACTGAACTTTTACCTACTCCTTGAATGCATCTTGGTCAGGAAAATCAATGGGCATATAATCACTGAAAGCAGAACTGGAATCTCTCGCGTACAATAGATCCCAAACACCAGAACTACAACACCCTTCTCGACGCGCATTTCACCACTCCTGAAGACAACAATTTGGTTTATGAAATGTACTTCGAGATGAGTGTTGCAGTTTTGGTGTTTGGGCGCAGTGCTTGTTTTGAATTTACCATAACATTTTCTGCAAAAAACTCATGTCTTGATCTAGTCCTCCAAAGTAATTACAACTTTGTTGAAATAGTGTGTGGATCCTATGAGAGTAACAATAAAATTAGTAGACAGTCTTCATCGAAATTTCTAAGATTCGCTTTCTGGTGTAACACCAGTATCAATAAAATATTTGATAAATATTTCAATAAAGTCTTTTACTACTGTTTCAAGGATGCACATTCTAAAGGTATTGATGGTAGAGAAAGGTATATTCACAAAAAAAATCAGAAATATTACCGATTTAATATCATCAATTCTGGAATGTTCGAACAACAGTGCATTCACTATATCTAGTAATAATAACGAACGCCATCCTTAGCATGCAGGATTCAAACGATTTTTTTATTGCCATTTCAATAAATATTCGAAAGTATTTTACAAAAGTTTGGCATTATGGTATATTCGGCCAAATTGGAACTACACATGCAATTACTAATGAAAATGTACTGAAAGCAAGTACTGATCCAACTTGGCAACTAGAACTACAAAGTGTGTGTTGTAATATAGTGAGATATATAATCTAGATGCTACATCTTCCATCGCACTCAAGACTATCACATGTTCTTTCGATGATTTCCTCTTGAGGGTATGTTGACCAGAAATGTATTTATTTGCTTGAGAAATTTGACTAATAATTTCTCAAAGGCGATGCTTTTTCAATGTGGCTTAGTCTTCGTTGATAATACTGCGAAAAGTGATACTCCAGTTGTTTGCTAATTATTTTTATCAGCATGCGCTATTGCTCTTTGTTTCTTTCGAATATTCCTAGTGAACAGATAGACTAAGCCGAGAACTGTCATAAAAGCTGCATACATATAAACTAAGGGGATTACTGCAGGGGCCCAAGTATTTGGAACATGTTTGTATCTCATCTTAACTCCATCTGCATCGACCATAGTGTCGTATCCTTCGGCAGCTCTGGGTGATCTCTGCAGGGTCGGAGATTGTTCGCATCCTGACTCTCGCACGTACTTAGCCCATGTTCGGTTAGCAGTGATAGTACGAGTAGGATTAAGGAAGGGCCTTCGTCCTGGAACCGTTTTATTCATCACAATTTTGACAGGCTGCAAGCCACCCGTGTTGTAATGACAAACGAGTAGCTTCTTACGCTTCACTTTTCCCACCGACACGTGTTCTTGAGTCAAAGTCGATCCCTCCAGAAGTTCAAGGTTTCCTTTCTCTATACTGGCCCAATCCCAAAGATCCGCCACGGAGCAGTCGCAGCGCCAGGGATTTCCAATGAGCTTCAATTTCTCAACGTTGGGATTGAGACTGAGATCTTTGGGCGAGAAAGTTGTAAGATTGTTGAATCTCAAGTCGAGGACCTCAAGTTTAGGAAGCAACTCCAAAAAACGTAAATCATTTGGAGAAGAAAAGTGATTTCCAGCCAAAATCAGATTAGTTATATTTCTGGTCCAGTGAAAAGCTTCTGGTGATAGGAAGGTCAGATTGCAATTGCTCAAATCCAACGTCTGTAACCGTGACAGTTGTTTTGGAAGCAACACCCCTGTTTTTGACACACGAAGTGGATTGCCAGCAAGTTGGAGTTCTGTCAAGTCTGTATAGGTGAAATTGTTGAAGAACAATGTGGCATTGAGAGGGCGACGTAGTCCGCAGAAGTTCAGCTCCAAACTTTCCAATCGGGTCAAGTTTTCGAACAATCCCGCTTCGAGACTATTTAGATCATTACCTGACAAAATCAGTCGGCGCATGGATGTCATCTTCGAAAATGATGTGGGGTGAATGTAGGATAAGTTGCTGTAGCCCATGTTTAGGTATTCCAAAGTTTCGAGCGGTGCTAATAGCTTAACGAACGCGTCGTTCAGTGGATTGTGAGATATGTCCAACTCTTGCAAACTTTTGAATTTATCGAACGTATCTGGTAAACGGCTTAAACCGCAATTGCTTAAAGAGAGTTTGTGTAAGTTTGTTAAAGGTGATAGGGCCAACAGTAAATCAGATGCGAACAACGTATTTCCAGATAAATAAAGGTTCCTTATTTTCGTTACGTTGACAAATGCATCCTCTGATAACGGCAAAGTTAAATTGCAATCTGATAAATCTAAGGTATCCAGATTTTGAAGTTTCCCTATTGTTTCCTCAACGTTCAGCCCAGGTAGATTATTCTCGGCCAAGATTAGTGTACGTAAATATTGATTGCCGTCAAACATTGTTACAGGTAAACGAGTCAGTCCGGACTTTCTGAAGTCGATGGTTTCGAGCAGATCCAATGTATTCAAAACAATGTCCCAACTGATTCTATGGAAATTATTCTCAGACAATTCTAAACTTTTCAGCAGACCCAGTGAACTGAAAGCTGTGTTTGATATATGAGTCAAATTACACCTATTCATCTTGAGAGTCTCCAGGCCACTCAATGGCTTAAATACGTTGTTTTCTATTTCGAAGAAAGGATTATCTGACAAATCCAGAGTGCTGAGATGCGGTAAATTCGCAAAAAAATCATCGTTTAATTTTCTCAGACTACAGTTACTTATATCCAAATACAACAACGACTTGATTGATATAAATGGTCCCTCAACTTCACGCAAAGGATTTCCTTGAAGTTCCAGATGTATCAGCCCCGCCGAATCGCTGAAAGTTAAGATTGAGCAATAAATTATTGTTTTTTCGACATGTTTTCGTTCATACACTTCGCTAATGACGATTTCTCATATTTCCACAGTGAAGATTCTATCGCTAGCTTTTTCATACCTAAAGTTTTTCATCCTTTCAATCACTGGCGAAAACTTTACTGATTATAGATTTGAAATGCGGCAAAAATCCTGAACCGGGAATGCTGTATTATAAAAATTTAATTAGTTCAGGACAACTTTGATATGCCCCATTCAAGTATAGGAAGAGCGTACATCCAACTTTAATGAACCAATTGTGATGTTTAATGAAATACTATTCCAAGAATAGTAATTGGATGAGTAATTGAATAATTTGAAACTTTCTTTGATTTGGAAATGTGTTTGGAGTGACAGAAGTGAAGAATATCTTCAATGAACATTTTTGGATCTATGACTTAATTATGAAATACGTTTAAAGTATATTCAAATATTGGAGAAATCGCTTTCTCTCCTTCTCTACAATTTTTACAACAAGTTGGCAACCAGATCAAAGCAGGGCTCATTTGGTGATCGCTGTCGAAAATTGACTTAGGAATGGGCTGACGCGTTACTTTTTTATGTTGATAAACTCGTTTTGAACATATGTTCACAGTTTCAGCTGTTTAGCATGTTGTTGAGAGTCATGAAAGTTAGAAATGTTTTGCGTTATTTTCTGCTATCGAAAAAAATGCATCGAAGAATTTGCATCGAATTTTGTGTAAAAAATGGAATTGAGCGCTCCAAAGCATTTGGAATATTGACAGAAGCATACGGTGATTGTACTCTGATTTAGAAAAATGTGGTACACATTTTTTACAGAAGGTCGCTTACCCTGGACGTTCCAGCACATCAACAATCGATGAAAATGTTGAGGAAGTGAAGGAAATTGTTATGCAGCAAAGTTCGCTCCAAAAGTACTGAATTTTGATCAATAAACCGTCAAATGAGCATCGCTCAGAAATTGTTGAATGACGTCAAGGGCGATCCAGATTTCCTGAAAGGGTCATAAATGGTGACGAATTATTGGTATATGGTTGTGACATCGAAACAAAAGTCCAATCGTCCCAATAGAAGAGCTCAGGAGAACCAAGACCAAAAGAAGCACGCCAAGTTCGATCAAATGTCAAAGTATTGCTCACTGTTTTTTTTTTGATTACCGAGGAGTATATCAGGAGTTCTATTCACACGGTCGTACACTCAATATATCTTGAAGTCATGCGCCGCTTGCGAGAAACAATATGAAGAAAACTTCTGGTATTGTGAAAAACAATTTGTTGGCCAACACCGTGATGATGCCGCAGTCACCGTATTCTCCAGATTTACCCCCCTGTGACTTTCTCCTGTTCCCAAGATTGAAGAAACCCATGAACGGACGGCGTTTTGCAATGATAATGCATCTGCTCACTCGTCATTGCTTGTTCGTAAATTTGTTGGACAATAACAACACTCTAATGATGCCTCGCCACCGTATTCTTCAGATTTGCCTCCTCGTGACTTTTTCTTGTCTCCAAGGTTAAAGAGACCCATGAACGGATGGCGTTTTGCGCCATACCAAAAAGTGCTTCGAGGATTGGAAAAAACGCTGGCACAAATGTATTATATCTGAGGGGGACTACTTTGAAGGGGACAAAATAGAAATTGATGAATGAATAAATATATTTTGAGAAAAATGAAAATTCATCTAATTTTTTGAACATTTTTCAAATTCTTCAAATGCAATGTTTTTGGACTCCGTTTGATCTATTTGCTTTCTTGTACTGAAAGTCACATAAAAAAAAGCAATTTCTCATTCGACGGACGATAGATACCAAAGGTTGACTTTGCATTCGGCCTGGGGAAATATTCCAAATGTGTAACATTAAATCGGTCATAGAAAAATTGAAATTCCTCCTTCTCCTTTTTACAAATGTATTAGAAATATGACAATCAGAGCTAGATAGATAAAAACAGAGCAATTTATTATAGGGTGGAAAAGTTATGGTAAAAGATTTTCCAAAAAATAACTCTACTTATATTTCCAAAAAACAAGAAATGTTACTTCAGAAGTTGATTGGGAGAGGAAAAACTATAAGGATACATAAACACAGAAGTAAAAACGAGAGACTATTCAAAATTTGTCATTATGATAGACGTTAGAAGTCTGGTTCCGCCACATTCAGTTTATTAGAAAAAACTGAGGACAGATCGGCTATTCATATGAAAATGAGAGACAGTAGTGATGGTCAGGAGAGCAAAATATTAGATTAATGATCTTTTCCGATAGATCGATGATGTATAATATAGAAAAGGTTAGAGAACACATGGACTCCTCGAGAATACCGGTGTTGATAATAAATTTGTCAAAGAAAGCACCAACGATAGCTACTTATTAAGGAACGGTCTTTGAGAAAGAAGGACAGCCACGAACAAAATCGATATGACAAGCGGAACCATCGAAATTCAATTAGTAACTCCTCACGGTCAAAAGTCTCGGAATTATCAAGCGCAACAGCCAAAAAATTTTCGATTTTCTTGATGGCATTGTTTCAGAGGTGAGTGGAGTGACATATGTGAGGTGCAAGTTCATTGGTGTATTCTTTGAAGTACGATAACAGGTACTTCATCAGTACCAGAAGCTCATTGATGTTGGACTGTTTCAATATTATCCTAATAGTGCGTGACAAAAAAGTAATGTCTAGGATTGTGAATTGTAGAGTGGGAAAAATAAGAAGAGTTTTCCCTTGGAAGTCAACTGCGAAATGGAAAAATATTCACCAAAACTGTGGACTTTCTATCACTGGCCAGAAAGATCTCGAACCGATGGGACTAGCAAGAAGTTTATTTGTGCACTCATCAAAGTTCACTCCTAATTTGCTCTAGTCGCGAGCGTTAAAAAACCTGATATGATTTTCGGCACCGGGGTTTTTCCTCCTATGTCGATAGACGATATGTCATAAGGAGTTGTGTCTTAAGGTCTACTTTCACTTAGTTTTTATGTAAGAACAAGCGGCAGTAAATTTCGCATCCATTTGTACTTTAATCATTCCGACACATTGAGATACGCTTGTAGTACGTGGAAAATAACATACGATGAATCAATAACGCAACAACACAAAATTATTATATAAATCGATTCAGTTAATTAAACTATTTTGTCACTGAAGCACAGAGGGTGACCCTACTGTGATCTGAAAAAATAACGTTCACGGATAATTTGCCGCTTTTCAAATGAACCACTGTAGATTAATTTTGATATATCATAAGAAGATTCCTTGACAGTAATCCTAACAATGGAAATATTAGATATATACTTTCTTTTTATTTTATAACTTCACAACTGATGATTAGAATGAAAAAACACTTACTCAAAAGCGTCAGTCTCCACTTTTTCAATCCTGTTGTGAGAAAAATCGGCATCAATCAAGTAGTGCAGTCCGGCATACGAGTCCTTTTTCAGCTCAGTCATTATATTGTGTGAGAGTTGTAATCTACGCACTTTGAAATCCGCCGGAAAAGGACCAACTTCACTAATCAAATTGTCGTTAAGGTCCAAAATGTACACATTCGGGCTAAGTTCATTATAAGGGATATGGGTTAGGTTACTGTCAGAACAATCAGTCACCCAGTTCACTCGAAAGTAGTGGCAATGGCAATCGTCAGGACATTCCAGTTCTGCCAGCTCTCCATTGAAACTGATAGATAGACCAACGCAGGATACCAGCGTAATTGCAATGATTGAAGATGGCCTCATATTACTGAAACAAAATTGAATTTCATTCAAGGTTCATCAATTATTCAGTGGGAGAATAAATACACAGGACCCAACGTGTTGATGAAGGCTAGTTCATACAAAGGCGGGTTTACGGGGAGTCAAGGGATGATTATCCCCTGCCTTCTGACATTTGCAATATTCATCTTAAGGAAAACAGTACCAATAATATTATGACAAAGAGTGTTTCGTTAACTGTTCAGAGAAAATCTCACAATGAAGGGTCACTTGAATAAGTGGAGGATTTTTTCAATTCCATCACATACATGGTGTAACATAATAAGTGTAAAACATTTAAGGAGGTGATTCCTCATCGAAAAAAAGATAGGACCTTTCATATAAAGAAACTGCATAGGAGCATCCCTTGTTAAGATACAGCATCTTAAAGGGGGTACATAAACTTTGTATAACAATTTTTTTTCACAAGCACTGAAAAAGTTACAATATTGAAATTAACCTCACGTTTTGTACTACCAAAAAGACACTTAGCCAGTAATTTATTTGGTTTACCCCATGGTTGTAAGGGGTGAAAAACGCAACCCCTAAAATTTATTCCAATGTAACTTTTTGTCTTATCATTTGTTTACCATTAAAAATTTATTTCTGATAGCCTGTTTCATTCTAAACAAAAAATGTCTCTTTGGTTTTTTGCCCAAAATAAACCAGTTCGCAGAAAAAAATTATTTTACGAACAACTACAGAGATACATCATCATAAATGCGAACTGAATTTATTGTTATTTTGTAGTTAGTACCTGCATTAATTGATTAAAGGGTAATGAACCAAACTAATTTATTAATAACAAAACACACAACATGTAGAAATCATAGTAAATGTTCAATATGTCTACCTTCAGACATTACGCATGCGTCTAGACGTCGGCGCATTGAGCCACGTATTCGCTCAAATATTCCTGAATTCTCTCTGATTACCCTGCACGCATCGATGATGCGGTTTCTTAAGTC